CATGATTGTGTTGCTTGCCGATTAGGAAAATCACAACGATTGGCCTTTATGGATGCTAGTCATAATTCTTCTTTTCCTTTACAAATTATTCATTCTGATGTGTGGCAGTCTCCAATTTCTTCTAATTTGGGATTCAAGTACTATGTTTGCTTCATTGATGATTATTCCCGATTTACTTGGATTTATCCCATGTGTCACAAAAGTGAAGTTTTTATGCACTTTAAAAATTTTAAAGCTTTAGTTGAAAATCTTTTTAGTCATAAAATTAAAATTTTTCAAAGTGATGGGGGCAGTGAATTTGTTAATCATAATATGTAGCATTTTTTCTCAGCTAATGGAATTTATTTTCAAAAATCTTGTTTTGACACACCTCATCAAAATGGGGTAGCTGAAAGAAAACATCGTCAACTTCTTGAATAAACTCGAACTATGCTTCTTGAAGCCTCTGTTCCGAGTCAATATTGGGTTGATGCAATTTTTACAACTACATATATCATTAATAGATTACCCTCCCCTACTTTGCACGGTCTTTCTCCATATCAAAAACTTTTTCAACGTGTTCCTGACTACTCTTTTATGCGTGTGTTTGGGTCAGCCTGTTATCCGAATTTTTCAGCCACCTCAGCTAACAAACTTTCACCTAGGTCTGTTCAATGTATTTTTCTTGGCTATGCACCAGGGTACAAGGCCTATCGTTGTTTGGATCCTAATACAGGTCGAGTGTATGTTAGTCATCACGTTAGGTTTCACGAGGATACCTATCCCTTTCAAACCTTTGGGAAACCCATTCCATCTCTTCTCGCACAACAACCCTCTCCTATGACCCTTACCGACACATCACCTCCCCCAGTTCCACAACCCTTACCCGCACCCACGACGTTCCACAACGCACCACCACTCTCACCGTCCGCAGCCAGAACGCCGACTATGCCCAATTCCCCTTTTTCTTCCTCGACAGCCAACTCCACTCCCACATCCTTCACCTCGAGCCCACACTCTTCTGCTTCTGAAACCGACACTAAGACAACCTCTGCCAATTCCCATACTCAGTCCAACTCTTCCCACACCGCGACCAGCCCTCCTTCGTCACCTTCCATTCAGCCCCCAAAGGTCCTTAATCATCACCCCATGCAAACCCGTGCGAAAGCGGGAATTTTCAAACCTAAAACTATCTTTAATCTCAGTACAGTTGTTATTCCTACGGATCCTACTTGTTTTACTAAGGTAAATAAACATTTAAAATGGAGGGAAGCAATGACCAATGAATTTAATGCACTCATTAATAATAATACTTGGGATCTGGTGCCCTTTGACAATACTAAGAATATTGTTGGATGTAAGTGGATTTATAAAACACAATATCATTCTGATGGGTTTATCGAAAGACAAAAAGCTAGATTAGTTGCTCAGGGGTTTAATCAACAGGCTGACATTGATTTTTCTGAAACTTGTAGTCCTGTTATTAAACCCACCACCGTTCGTATTGTACTCACCTTGGATGTATCTTTTGGTTGGTTTATTCGTCAGCTTGATGTTAAAAATGCCTTTTTACATGGTCATCTCACAGAAGAAGTCTACATGCGTCAACCCCGTGGGTTCATTCATCCTCAATTTCCCAATCATATGTGTCATTTGCGTAAGGCCATTTATGGTCTGAAGCAGGCCTCACGGGTATGGTTTCATAGATTTAGTAGCTTTCTCCTGCAGCATAATTTTTCCTGTAGTAAATCTGATAATTCTTTATTTATCTATCGCCATAATAATTCTATCATTTATTTATTACTATATGTAGATGATATTATTATTACTGGCAATTCTGAGTCCACTGTTACCCAGTTTATCTCCACTTTTTTTTTTTGAAAAGGAACAATTGTATTCAAAAACAGAATAAGATTACAGTGCAAAAAGAAAAAAAAGAAGAAAAAGAAAAAAAAAAGAGGAAAGTAAGGTAAAATAAATACAAACGAACTAGACTCAAGGAAAATCTATGGATTGTGATCTGGTCCTCATGCTATGACGCCTCTTATTTTTTTGAGATTTCCTGTATATTTTGAGTTGTGTGTTGAGGTTTTCTGTTGGCATAGAATTTTCAGATGTGACCAGGTTTGATTTGCGGCAAATCGCTCTATTGAATTTGGAGTTCTTAATTTCTTCCTAGGTTGATAATGGGGGACGACGATCGCTTTCGGTTGCATGTCCAAGAAAATCGTCTGAAAAGAAAGAGTCATCAGAGAAAGAATTGTCAGTAATAATAATATTTCTCCACTATTGGATACACAGTTCAGGATACACTACTCATCAGATTTGTTCTCTTTGAGCTCGGCTATCCCATCAAAGAACCCGTGCGGTTGTTATGTGATAATATTTCGGCTTCCTATTTGACTGCAAATCCTATTCAGCATGCTCGTAGTAAACATATTCTAATTGACTACCATTTTGTTCGCGAACGAGTTGCACATGGAGATCTGGTTGTTCAACATGTTCCTACTCATCTTCAGTTGGCAGATATTTTTACCAAGAGTCTATCTACACAGCGTTTTCATTTTTTAAAAGACAATCTGCGCGTTGTTTCTCCCGCACAGCTTGAGGGGGTGTAATAGAATTATTATAGGCTCAGTATTGTATTTTACATTAAACTCTCTTTATTATAAATATATATGTCAGGGCTCCTTAGAGAGCATCCTGTTCATTATTCTCACAGTTCAAGTTGAAGAAGGATGCAACTGGACAAGTGGTGAAACACAAAGCTCGGTTGGTTGTCAAAGGATTCCAGCATAAGAAAGGAATTGACTTTGATGAGATCTTTGCACCAGTTGTCAAGATGACCTCAATCCGAGTTATACTTGTCTTGACAGCAAATATGAACTTGGAATTTGAACAGATGGATGTGAAGACAACATTTCTTCACGAAGATTTGAAAGAACAAATCTATATGCAACAGCCAGAAGGTTTTGAGAACTCAAATGATAACTTTGTGTGTAAGTTATTTAAAAGTTTGTATGGCTTGAAGTAGGCACCAAGGCAGTGGAGTAAAAAGTTTGACTCATGCATGAAGAGTCAAGGCTGCAATAAGACTACTGCAGATGAGTGTGTATACATCATGAAACTTCCACAAGGTACCTTCATTGCTCTTCTACTGTATGTAGACGACATGTTGATCGTTGGGAAAGATGCAGCGAAGATAAACCAACTGAAGAAAGAACTCTCTAAGTCTTTTGATATGAAAGACTTAGGACCAGCTCAACAAATTCTTGGGATGCATATCACTCGAGACATGAAGAATCGCAAGTTATGGCTTTCTCAAGAGAAGTACATTGAATGAGTACTTGAGAGATTCAACATGAATGATGCCAAACCAGTTAGTGTTCCACTTGCGAATCACTTCAAGTTGAGCAAAAGAACATGCCTTACATCCAAGGAAGAGATCGGGGTGATGTCAGCAGTTCCATATTTTTCAGCAGTTGGGAGTTTGATGTATGCCATGGTATGCACAAGGCCAGACATCGCACAAGCAGTGGGTACAGTGAGTCGTTTTCTCTCTAACCCTGGGAAGGAGCATTGGGAGGCAGTCAAATGGATTCTCAGGTACTTGAAAGGTACCACGAAGTTATGTCTTTGTTACGGAGGAGCTGATCCAGTCTTGGAAGGCTACACAAATGCTGATATGGCTGGATATATTGATAGTAGAAAGTCTACTACATGATATATCTACACTTTTGCAGGAGGACCTGTTTCTTGGCAATCAAGATTGCAGAAGTGTGTCGCTTTATCTACAACAGAAGCAGAACACATTGCTGCCGCTGAAGCAGGTAAGGAAATGTTGTGGCTAAAGCGCTTTCTCCAAGAATGTTGGATCCAGTAGAAAGAGTACAAGGTACATTGTGACAGTCAGAGTGCTCTAGACTTGAGCAAGAACTCCATGTACCATTCTCGTACAAAGCATATTGATATTCGGTATCATTGGATACGGGAGACGATTGATCAACAACTGTTGAGACTAGTGAAGATCAATATAAAGGAGAATCCATCAGACATGCTGACAAAGATGGTGACACGAGATAAGCTAGAGCTGTGCAGAGACATAGTCGGGATGCTTGTTTTGAATATGCCTGGAAGGGGAGAATTGAAGAATTCAATTTCCATGACATATCCAAGTACAAGCAAATTGAAGAATCCAATTGCAACGACCATGAAGCTTCCTCCATGTGCAAGCAACAACCATGAAGCTTCCTCCATGTGCAAGAATGACAAAGGGAGCTTCCTCAACCACCATTGAAGTTTCCTCATGTTTAATGCCACTTTCCTTCCACCTTCCTAGTACCTAGTTTTGGTTCTATAAATAGAGAGCTTGGAGAGTCTTTCTATCATCAAGTAAATTAGAATAGATCATCACAGCACAACCAAGTTTGTGTTGTGAATATCCTTGAGAGATATGTGATGTTTTTTTGAGAGTTTTTAGTTAGAGCTTGTATGTCTCTTCTTTATATTCTTGAAAGTAATAGAAGTATTTTTCTCATACACGATCCTGTTATTAGCACGATCATGTTATTCCCAACATACGTATGTTTCTTTTGATAAAATGCCTCAAAGAAAAAAGTTAAATGCCTCATTTCTTTTATGAATTGTATTTGATAAATCCTTTGATGTATTTATGTTATATATTGAAGTTAAATCTAAAATTATACTTCGTATATTATTTACTAAGTATATTATATGTGTTCATTAATATGTTTAAAGTAAAATCCCTGCTTTCCATATGTGTTATATGTGCTTGAAGATGTTCTTTTTACGTATAATAGTTTGACCAATTTTGTTTATGGAATATTTTCATATTCCATAAAAATATTTGTTTGAATATCTGTTATATTTGTTTGAAGATGTTTCCTTTTTACGTATTTCATACTCCACTCGTTATTCTTCCCCAAATGGTAAATTATGAGTAAATCTGATTTGGACAAAAATGTAGCCATTTAATTTCACTTCCGCTGCCTTATCTTCAGGCCCGCTCCGCACATCATCTTTACCTTAGCTTCAGGGAGTGACTCTCCATCTCCGCCGGTCATCTCTGCAGCTCAAACAAAGATTCATCAGATGCTTCAACAGCAATGGTGAGCCTCCGACGACGACGCCCACCGGTCATCTTTGCAGCTCGGATCTGTTCTGCATCGGTGCGCATCGGCATATGTTCTTCAAGCATCTCTTTGCATCGAATCTGGTCGCCTCTTTCAATTGGTGCCGCCAATCTTCTGGATCTTCTCTTCTCCGCGTCTTCGTAGCCACGGTGTCCTCCTCCTCCATCCATTTTCGTCGTTGACTCAGTGGCCGACCTTATCCAGTGGAGCCGCTGGCACGGCGGCCATTTTTCACTCTGTCATCCCATATGTGAACGGACGGCTTGGAAGGGATATGGACTGCTTGTGAAGGGGATGGGCTGGGTAGGTTCCTGGAGGGGGTTGGGGGCTGATGTGGGAGAGTGCTGGAGGGGAGCTGCGCTGGGGGCTAGGAAGCGTTCTGGAGGGGGCCGGGGTTGCTGGGGGAGCGTTCTGGAGGGGGCTAGGGCTGCTGGGGGTGAGGAGGAGGGCTGGGGGTCTGTGCATGGGGCTGGTGGGCAAGGGGTGACGGCGGCCACCGCTGTGCAGCGGCAATTCTTGTCGGCTGGAGGTGGCGGTCAATGTAGGGTCCGTGCGGTACGACGGTGGTCAATGGGTGGTGCTGCTAGTGTCGGGTGTTACTGGTCAATGGCGGCATCACTGTGGCGGTTTTACAGTGGCAGCGTCATTATGGCCGGCGGCGATGACAAGCAGTGACGGTGGCAGCAGTGACACGGGCAATGGTGACGACAGTGACATGGCTGGAGGTAGTGACATCTGACAGTGACATGAAAATTGGATAGTGACATGAATATTTGGATGTCACTTTATCTTAGTTACATTTTTGTCCAAATGGAAATGTTTCCATGATTTAAAATGAGTAAATAAATGGCAAGCCTTGATTTAATATCTTATCTGCGTATTCATACATACGGAGTACATAATACAATTGACAGGTTACGTATTTATATTTATTTTTGACACCTCATCTACACGTGTCTATCTTATTCAATTTATTAATTTATACCATACATTTGTCCACATGGACCAATAAAAACGTTGCAATTGAATTGTTTAAGTCTAAATTAAAAATGATATACCTATTTGAACCAATCAAGTGAACGGTAGGTATGGTACCCCGTTTTTTAAATGGGTATCGGAGTTCTCACCTTTCTTTTTTACGGAAGTGTTATTCCACCTGTGAAACGTTCCCTGTTCAATTTAAGTCATGTTCATTCTTTTAAGTTTTAACCATAAAATGTTTTCATAATAACAATTGTGTCCCTGAGTATCCCCTCCGTAAATACACTTATTTTAGCACTATGTCAACTCTTACTTTTAATATCAATTGATATAGTTTTTTTTTTACCCCGGAAGGCCAACCACCAAAATCAGTGGGGTAAATGCCGGGGGACATTTATCGAATTTTATTAAAAATATAGATTTTTACAAGTAAAATCCGGGGGGACCACACCTGACCCAGATAGAAATTAAAATCTAAAAGTCGGAATGCCAAAAAAATCCATCCAAAACGATATACGAACAAAAATTGGAAGCTGATCCATAACTGAATAATTAATTAAACGATTCACTGGGCCCTTAGCCAAATGGTGCGCAGCCCAGTTTCCTTCACGCCTGGTAAGCCCAAAAATTACCCCTTTCCTAATAGCCATCTGTAGAGTTTCCTGAAGCTCCACCTTCCATCTCCTCGACTTCCTCCCCTGAAAGAATTCCAACGCCGATGAAGAGTCCATTTCCACCTGAAATTGTTCGTATCCTGCCTCAATAGCCCACCAGTATCCAACGAAGACTGCGCGGATCTCAGCCTCTAGAGGTGAAGAGGCTTCGATCGGGAAGGTTACAGCAGCGGCGAAAGCTCCCTTTCTCCCACGCATGATGGCTCCTCCTGCTGCCCATTCAGATAAGTAACTGGCGTCGATGTTTAATTTCCATTCTAGCTTCGGCCTTCTCCACCTTACTATCTGATACCAAACTCTTTGTAGACGAAAGTTTTTAGTAATCAGATTTTCTTCAAATAAAATGCTCCCAATGTTGAGCAGTTTATATCAATATCAATTGATATAGTAAAATACTATGTACACTTACCTTTCAAATCTTTAATTCTTATATAAAAAACCTGTTATACTTTTTTTCTCACAATTTTTGCGACATGACATAACTAGTTTAGATATATTCAATATATAAACCTTTTTACCTAAACATATACTGTACATAGTACCGTATGTGTATTAGTATTTTGTATAGGATCTCCTATTTTTTCTCTTCTCGCACTATGTTTTTAGCCATGTACGTACTTTAATGTTCTTAAATTTGGTAAAATAATATATAATAATGCCGTGGACATCTAAAAATTATTGGGCCGGTTTTGATAGTCATTGGGCCTCTTCAAACGGTATCGAGCTACTATTGACCTTATTGGGCCTCTTTTAGATGCTATTGGATCAAACTCAAGTATAACGGGCTACTCATAAAGTTCAGAGAAAATATTAATATGGATCTGTTCGGATATAATTTAATTAATTCAGAACATTTCATATCCAATTAATTTAATTCTTTGAAAAGAATGGACTGGTCCTATTACATTCTTTATTTTGAGCCCATTAATAAATAGTAGCCCAATGAATAAGAATAATGATCCAATTGATAAAGAGAGCAATGAATATGGTTAAGAAATCCATCCGTATGCATGGAAAATGGCTACGGACCTTGTTAAAAAGGCTGTCCAGATACATCGAACAAGTGCTGATTTTTCTGGCTATTAAATGCAAGCAAATAGAGCCCAAAACCCATTTTATTTGAGGCCCAAGGGATATGGACGAATTTCCAAAACCCTAGAGCATATTCTCCTATAAATAGGGGTCTCAGTTGAGAGGAAGGGAGAGAGAATTTTCAGACAAAGAAACGCTGCAGAATAGCTCTGAAGAACTCTCGAAAGGCTCTGAACGATTCCGAAGAAGAGGAGTAGACCAAGCCACGAATTTTATTAAGAATATACGAATAATCCTTTGTGATTTCATCGATTCTTGATAAAATAAATCCAAAAGTTGAAGAACGTTCGAAGATCTGAAGAACGAAGCTTGAAGATTTGAAGATCTGAAGAACAATGCTTTGAAGATTCGAAGACCTGAAGAACGAATCTTTGAAGATTTGAAGATATTCATATGAAGATTGAGTCAAGATTCAATTGAAGATCAAACCACATATCTCGGGAGGCTCTTAAACAGAAGATCAAGCCACAAAACGGGCCTTTTGTTGAAGATCAAGCCACTTGAAAATCGGAGGCCCTTCAAGCTGAATTCATAAATCAAGAATATTTGAAGATCCAAAGAACGAAGATTCGAAGATTCAAAGAACAAAACTTTGAAGGTTTGAAGATTCGAAGAACGAAGGTTCGAAGATTTGAAGATCCGACAAACATTCGAATATTTGAAGAATTAAAGATTTAATTTTGAATTAACTTCTTTAATTATATTTATTCCAAATTGCAAGTGAAGAATCAGAGGATTCATATTTAGAGATTGTACCCAATATTCTCATATATTATTATTTGCGACCAATTTTATGTAAATACTTAAAATTTGTTTCACAAATTTTTGGCACGCCCGGTGGGACATCTCTACCTCACATCTCTTCAGTTTTGAAAATGAACCCATGGCATCAAGCAAGCCCGTGTTCGCTCTGAATTCTCGAGCGTCATCAAGCTCGAATCAAAACATGCAAGGCCCTATCACTAGGTGTGACACCGCTCCCAATTTGAACTGGGATTAATTTATCCATTAATATTAAAATTTAATAGAAATTACAAATACCAATGTCGATGAGGATGACTAGTTAAGTTCGTGAATATTTATTCATTTTGAAAACTAGTTACAAAAATATTAATCATATGAGAAATGATTAATTGATTAAATTAATACCGATTAATTATATTGTGTGTCGGACCCTAAAGAAAACGGGAAGGGACTAACTAGTAGATTCTTGGACCACGTTAAAATTAGTTAAAAGCCCAAGGATAAGGAAATAAGTTATATACGAATGTTTGGGCCGGGAAAAAGGTGAAGGAATAAAATAAGGAGACTTTTCGAGCCACTTTCTAATAATAGAAAGGTAAAGGGGTTTAAGCCCGTAACATTGGAGAGGGATATCCAACACATTTTAGGATCGATCTATTGAGGTCTACTAGCCTAAAATAATATAAGTAAACGAATAAAATTCATTTGGGTCGGAGTAAATTAAAAAGAGCAGCCCGCGAACCCGACCCAACTAAATTGGCCCAACTTTCTAAAAATAGAAAGATAAGGGAGGGGGGGTCTCTTATCCTCTCATTTGAGAGGCTATACGGGAGATTAAAGAGTTCCTTAGAGAGCTCCATACCAAGCCAGAGCTCAGGGAGAAATGGAGGCCAAGAAGAGAAGTGAATCCGTTAGAAAACAAAGCCTAGCGGTAAGAATTTCATAGCCCCGGTTCTTGTTCTTGCGTTTAATATATTTTTCGTATATGATTTTATAGAAATCATATGATGGATTCTAGGGGATGTTCTACATGTTTAAATGTGTAGAAAAAAGATATAAAGTGTTGGTATTTAACCTAGAAGAATCGTTGAATCGATAGGAGTTGAAATCGCCGGAAACCGCCAAGTAAAAGAGGCTGTCTCGTGTAGCAGAGCCCGAAAGCCGCCCGGCTTTCGTGAAAGCCGCCCGGCTTTCACCTGCTGTCCAGATTCTTCATCTCCGATCGACCTAGAACGAGGACGGATCGAGGGGCTTTGCTAGGGCAGCTAGTTGAGCACATCATAAGGTGAGGATGACTGACTATATTGTTTATAATTAGTGAGTTAATTTCGTAAGATTACCTAAAGTTGTTAAATGTGATTTTCATGGATTATTAATGATTAAAAATGCCTAAATGAAATACTATTGTTTATGAGTAAATGAAGCATGATATACAAATTTGGGGGAAATTGTGTATGATTATGTGATCTGAAAGTGATGGCATGATAATGAAATTAACTATGAAAATATTGTGATTAGATATACTTTTACTTCATGTATAGAATTCATGAATGGATAAAAGTGATATTCTTGATATTGAGATTAAATTGTATTTGGATTGGAAAATCAATTGGAATGAAATGTTGGTTATGAATTAAGAACTTGGTTGTTCTAAGATTATCCGACTAGTATTGTAATACTAGTCGGGAGATTGAGATAAATAAATGATGAAATTAATCCTAAGAGATAGGATTGTGAATAGAGATGCCTCAAGTAGTCCTAAGAGATACTTAAGGGTCGGAATGTATGAGCTCTAAGATATGTTAGGAGTAGGCCTTAAAGGCTACTCAAGGTAAAATGATTCTAGGCATAGAATTGGCTTAGGAATCAAATAACTTGACTAAGAGCGAAGCTCTAGCCAGACGTAGATGACTAAGAGCGAGGCTCTAGCATAAATATAGATTGACTAAGAGCGAGGCTCTATCCAGACGTAGATGACTAAGAGCGAGGCTCTAGCATAAATGTAGATTGACTAAGAGCGAGGCTCTAGCCAGATGTAGATGACTAAGAGCGAGGCTCTAGTATGAAGGTAGGTTGACTAAGAGCGGGGCTCTAGCCTAATGTTGATGACTAAGAGCGAGGCTCTAGCATAAATGTAGATGGCTAAGGGCGAGGCTCTAGCACGGTATGATAATAAGATTGAGCGAGGCTCCATGATGGCTAAATAATGTAATTAAGAAATGCCCCATGACGGTAATATAATTTACCGAAGGTTATAACAATCGTGACTAGTAGTCACGGGGAAATAGGGGTGGGCATTTCACAAACGAATATGGGCCACGGGCCAACTACTTGACTCTATATAAAGTAAGTATATTTTTAAAAGGGGTAACCGAGGGTTATGGCCTATAATATAATACCACCCTAGATTGAGGGTCTTAGAAATTGAAACATTGATTATACTTAATATAGT